CCTGGTTTAATGGTGTGCACTGGGGGACGCCTCACCCGCCCCGTTCCACTAACCGAAGCTACTACAGACCTGGCTTAGTGATTTTGGTCAATAAGAGGCTCCGGGGCCCTATCACTAACCGGGCCTCCTTACCTGTGGCCCTTGCTGTACCCGACTTTGGACTTGATGATCATGCACCTTTTCACTTCTTACAGCTCGAAGGGTTGAGGGTGGATCCTTCACAGAACGGGGTCTCGCGCGAATGGCAACCCGACGGGACGCCCGCTCGTCCATGAGGGGGGGCACCCCCTGCAGCGGAACGGACAATCTCATAGGGAGGACCGAGGCGGGGACTGGGGACGGGATGGTGCCCTTAAGCATCGCTAGTGCTTGAGCAGGGACCGACGGTCCCGGCATTCCTCTAGGCCTACCACAACATGCTCTAAACACCCACAAATTTTGTTTAAACAACAACAATGTTTTTTTTGAACAGAAGCCCGATATGTTAAAACGAAACAGAATCGTCCAGAAATGCTCTTAGAACATTTCGTGCAGACCACAACAGGCAAGCCAGGACGCTTCGCCACTGCTTGAAATGCACCCTGGGTTTACGATGGTCCTCCCCCCCGCCTCGCCCCCCTCGCGGAGATAGAGGCCTCGGAGTAGATGGAGTCGGCGGATCGCGCCGCATCGCCGATGCATCTGCGATGCATCGGCGATGCATCGCAGATACACCGACGATGCATGGGCGACGTCGTCGGTGCATCGGCGATAAGGGCGTGGAGGAAATCGGGCTCCACATCGAGCCGCATCGGCGATGCATTGGCGGTGCGGCGCGATCAGCCGACCCCATCCACTCCGACCCCATCAAGGAGGCCTAGACTACTGCATCCTGGGTTTACGATGGTCCTCCCCCACTTGCCTCGCCCCCCTCGCGGGAGAGGAGGGGTGTGCGGCGGGGATGTATCCATATCCACCGCCTGGGAACCGACGTCCTGGTGCCCTAGCGGGCGGTGGATATGGATATATTTCGGCCCCCGCCCGAATATGTCCACATCCACTGCCTGCCGAGGCTCCGAAAACTGACCCTCCAGGCGGTGGCCATGTAGAACTTCCCGCCCCGGAAGGGGGGACGAGGAGAAGAACGGGGCGGGCGAGGGCCTGGCCCTCCCGCGCCTCCCCCTCCTCCGGGGATCTACTGGCCCGGGCCAATCCAGGCCCAACTCAGCCAGGCAATGCAGGATCCTGCGAGATCCTGCAATGAGGCGAGAGCACGATTCCCGAAAGAATTTCGACCACTCGCAAGGGTGACCCTGGGCAAAGAGTGACCTTCGGTGCGCGTCTTTAAAAGGCCGCGGGGAGGCCAAATCCAAGCGCGCAGGCCAATGCTGCGGGGACCCCTGCAAGTCGGGGATCTAATGACCCGGGTCAATCCAGACCCGTGTCGGACAGGCGTTGCAGGATCCTGCGAGATCCTGCAGGGTCCTGCAGGATCCTGCGACCAAGCCCAGGTCAATGCGACTCCGGCCCTGGAGGATCCTGCAAGCTCCGGCGCTCTGGCTGACCCCCCCCGTTTGCATGGGCCCCGTCTCTTGAGCCCCGACTCATCTTCTTCCCTCTGCCCCGGCTCCTCCCTTCGACTCCCCACCTTTTCTGCCCACTCTTCCGCTTCTCGCAGCCGGGCTCCCTGCGGCGCGCAGCCGCCCAAAAAATCTGCAATCAGAGCACTGCTGTGCGGCAAGGTCTTTCGGCGGCCAAGCACGAGAGGAGCAGAGAGGCCGGGTGGAGGAGGAGTGGGGGCGAGAGGGGCTACTGGCGAGAGGGGGGGGGTACAACAGGAGTTCTTGTCACTCAAGGGCAGGAGGAACGCCGCTCCACGCCGACGGTCCCAAGGCCACCCGCCTCTGGAGCTGGAGGCTCGAGGCTTCTGGTGGCTCTGGAGCGCCTGGAAATGCTCGAGGACGGGAAACGGCTTGCCGTCAGGCACAGTATAGGAGCAGCGGAGGGGAGGAGGAGGAGGCGGGGGGTGAAGGAATGGAGGAGACAGGAGGACCGGGTGGGGTGATGGCAGGTGGAACGAAAATGAGGTGAGAAGGATGCGTGAAGGAAGGGGCTGAGGGGAGGAGAGAAGAACACGGACAAGGGAGGATGCAGGACGGCTGGGACAGATGGGAGGAAGGAGAAGGAGAAGAGGGAGATGGGTGAGGAATGTGAAGTAACAAACCATCCACGCATCGGGCCGACAACTCCTGGCGGCGACGACGGCAACGACCACGGCGACGGTGGCGACGACGACGACGACGACGACGGCGACATCTGCGGCGATGTCGTCAACGGCGACGGCGATGAAATTGCCATTTCCGGGTGCTTGAACCAAGCGTGAGGAACCAAACGTGAGCCCAGATCCAGGCCAGATCCGAGCCGAAAGCTTTCTGAGTGGCAGACATGGTGCTGCAAGCGTACGAATGTTGTAAAGTTTGCTCGACGGTTCCGCCAGATATTGAACACCGCACGCGTGCGATGAGTGGACATGGGCAGTGCGCGCGCCAAAACAATGTTGCGGTCAATAGGTAGACGGTCAATTTGGAAGGCCGCTTGTTTCAACCATTCCCATTCTAGGCGGATCAAATCCGGTGCGGCACAGATGGGTTGTATCCCAGTGTCAGAAAGGAGGGACCCTAGCACAGGCGAGCGTAAAGGAAAGCCTGTAGCCAGTTCGCCTGGGAACTCACACATCTCGACTTTGACACGTGGCGCTGTTGAGCAAAAATGCTGCACCCGAGAAATGACGTCCCTCCGCGATCTGGCGGAATACCCGATGGCACGTTGCACCGCGCTCTTATGATCTCCTCTTCACCCCCACGTGAAGTCTGTTGGTAACACTTGCCAGAACATGACCTGTTCACAAAGACCTGCAGGGTGACGCTCGTATGACGCATGAGATTGCCCCAACTGCCGCATCTAATCTCATCCGCTCGAGGGCACGCACATACTCGAAGATAGGCTGTTCATACGATCGCAGCAGAACGTCGACGCTGGGCTCGAATGCTCCCAGCAGTGCTTGCGCCTGGGGGTTCGCACTCGCGTTGGCGAGTAGCCGCGTGGGTCTGCCGAAGGCCCGGCGGGCCGCCGCGGGCGTCTCGTGAGCGCCCCGTGCGCTCGCTGGCTGGCGCCCGCCGAGGTTTCGCCTCTGATGGGGCGGCCGTGGGCGCCCGGCGGGGGCCCCCGTGCGCTGGCTGGGCCTGCCGAGGCGTCGCCTCTCGCAGGCACCTCGCGGGCGCCGCGTGCTGGTTGCGCCTCACGGCTCGACGCCGCACGGCTTGCGCCACGGAAAGTTCCCCACGCTGCTTCTTTGACCACGCAGCTTGCGACACACGCAAAGCTTGCACCAAATTGCGTACACAGCATAGCTTACACCACAATGCCTTCACCATCAACAGATATATATATATATATAGTTATATATGTGTGTATACACATATACGTATATATACTTATGTATTTGTAGATCTAAATGTGTATATGTTGCACCACATAGCTTGAAACGCGCATAGCTTGCACTGGATAGCGTGCACAACATTGGGTGCAAGAGCTCACTCATTGGGCTCCACGCTGGCAAAAACATGTCCGCCACTGGTGTTCAAAGATCCCTGTCAGGGGTCCAGGCCATGACCCTCCTGCCCGTCTGCCCCCCCCCCCCCGCGCAACTTCCCCTCTTCCTCTTGCCTCGTCCTTTCCGACGAGCTGGGGCCGCCCACACGGGGTCAGAGCAGATTTAGGTCGGGCCTGTCCTTCTACAGATTTTCGACGAAAATTGAAAAACATACTCCAATGATACCGGAGAAAAAACCCAATCATAATATTTTTAGGGCTGTAGGGCTATGGGGCTATACGGTTATAGGACCATAGGACTATAGGGCTATAGGACTATAGGGCTATAGGGCTATAGGAACATAGGGCTATAGGGCTACGAGGCAAGAAGGCTATAGGGCTGTAGGCCCATAAAGGCTATAGGGTGATAGGGCTATAGGGCGATTGGGCTATAGGGCATAAGGACTATAGGGCTATTAGGGCTATAGGGCTATAGGGCTACATGGTTATAGGTCTATAGGTCTATAGGGATATAGGGCTATAGGGCTATAGAGCTATAGGGCTATAGGGCGATAGAGCACCCGGGCACCCCGGGGCACCCGGGCACCCCGGGGCAGCTCCAGGCACCCCTGGGCACCTCCGGGCACCCCCGGGCCCCTGGGCACCCGGGCCCCCCCGGGCCCCCGGGCCCCCGGGCGTGCTGCGAAAATCGGCGGCAAACCTAACCTAACCATATGAATCCGCTAGGACCCCTACAGAGGCAAGCTCTGATTGGGGAAAAATGCTCCCAAAAATCAAGTCGTCGTCGACAGAGTATTTTTGACTATGTTTGAATGTTCCCCCTGTGGAGGGACAGGCCCGACTTACGAGTAGATGGGGTCGGAAGACCGTGCGGTATCGCAGATGCATCCGCAGTGCATCAGCGACACCTGGACGGAGAAACCCAAGCTCCGAATCGAGCCACATCGCCGACGCGTCACCGATGCGTCGGCGATGCCGCCGCACACCCAGACCCCAATCTCGACGGAGCCCATCTGGACGGCCTGGAATGCTTCACTTCTCCACTGCGCCCCTCTCCCCTCCTCCCGTCTCCTCCCTCTCCCCTCGCTCTCCTCGCTCCTCGCGCGCCACTCCTCCAACGAGGTTCGGGTGGGAGCAAGTATCCCGCGTGCAGCCGAACGCAGCCCACAAGACTGCGAAGCCGGACACAAGGGGGACGATGACGAGCTGCAGGCCACCACGGGTACTGGGCTAAGAGAAACACAGAGGAATACGCGCAGGAATCAAATGTGAAATGCGCCAGGTGAGAGGCTGAGTGAGCAATAGAGCGCAACGCGGGACGATATGCAAGCAAACGTGACGTTCTGCGCAATCCGCTTGAGACCGAGGACGAAGGCATGGGGAAAACAACGCAATACGGCGGGATTGTCCTTCATCGCTGTGAAAAGAGTTCCGGTGCTGAGGTCGTAGTCCATGCTGGAAACTTTGCTGCCTGCTGCCAGCAACCCACCGTCCTACGGCTGCAGCTGCCCACCTCATCCATCCGACTTCGAGGCACAGGAAGAAAGAACGGCAAAGTGGTAGGGGGAAGCCTAGGATCATAATGGTGGTGGTGGCAGCACTACCCGTCGGTCGAAACAAGTGGGTAGAAGCATGAAGTAAGGCGGTGAAAATAGATTGAGCTTCCGCCAGCCCCCTGAAAGGAAGAGGGGAAAACACTCCATCATTGAAGTAGGAAGGCGCCTAAAGTAGATTGGGATCCGGGCATCCAAAAATACCTACTTTCAACGACCTACCTACACTTTCGGTGCTCCGCGCAGATTTTATGGGTCGGCGTGGGCCCCTCCCCTCCCCCCACCCCTTCCATAGGGAGCAAAACATCCACCCTCATAGTAAGCACCCCGACAGGCAAAGCCATTCAGTAAACGCACCCAAGGAAGGAATCGAACAAGGCAGGGCTGCCTAGTAGACGCCAACTATCGGGGCCGGAGTGGTTTTTGGTCCCTTGACTCCATGGCGCGCAGAGCGCGCTGGGGGCGACGCCAGAGGCGCCGCAGGGGGTATCCAGCGCCGATCCAAGGAATCACCTCGGCCTTACTGAAGTGTATAGTCCCGTCGCGTTTCTGACCAACATCCGACGTAGTGTTTTGTTTCAAGTCTGGGCCTCTTCCCGGGGACGGACGTTTCATCCTGACCTGATCCTGACGGCCCCGGGGCCCGGTTGGGGCCCCCAAGGCCCGAGAGTGTCCAAACCCATCCGCCGTGACTATCGGGCATGTCCCCCTGCATGCGGATTTTGGACGAGAAATCAAGAGTATTCAAAACATCCTCCAAAATTGTGAATATATCACAAACAAATCGTCCCCATAGTATAAACTATTTTTGAATAATCCCCCTGTTGAGGGATGCGCACGACTTAAGACTATCTCACGACACGAGGATAGCAGGGGACCTCTTGAAGTTTCTGCTCTCGTCCTTTTGCGAGAGCCCCCCAGGGGCATTTCAATCACACAATGAGGCTGCAGATCGTCCCTCCCACGACCCCCCGCGCCTAATACCGCGTCGGCGCCGTCAGGGATAGTGGCCACCTGCTGTATGGGCAAGATGGACGCATCCCAGACGACCACGCGGCCGTTGGCGAGTCCGCCTGGTCCCTCTTCAGGGGCCACTGTAGATCTTGCCATCGCTCGGACGCCCCTTCCCCGTGCACTTCTCGATCTCGTGCGCATGCTTTTTCGGAGGGTGGTCCACTATGCTCCTCGAGGGACCTCGCCGAGAAAAACTGCACACGCGTCGCCATCGCTCAGACGCCCCTTCCCCGTGCACTTCTCGAGCGCCCACTTTTTCGCAGGGTGGTCCAATATGACGAACCAACAACTCACACCCATACCCACAGGGGGGTCGGAGAGAGCTATGGGTGCGTGTTGTCGGATGGGGGTCCCCGCTCGAACGTGAGCGTTCCCCAGGGTCTGACAACCAGCACCCATACCCGTAGCCAGTCCTCCTCCCAACGACCCCCCTATGGGTATGGGTGTGTGTTGTTCGTTCGTCACGACATGCTACTCGAGGGACCTCGCCGAGAAAAACTGCACACGCCCGAGCGATGCCAGGAGAGCGGCGAGGTCTGAGCGTGTCCTCCGGTCCGTCCCCGGAGGGGCCCCCGCCTGGGCCTGGAAGGGGACGGGGCGCGTGCGCGTCGTGGCCTGGCCGGAGAGACCCATGCGTGCAGCCGAATGATGCACCGGCCATGGGCCCAGGATGGGCCTGGCCAGGGGAGGTGGGCGCAATGGGTATGCCACGTATATACATACATACATACATACATACATACATACATACATACATACATACATACATACATACATATATACATACACCCGTGAATGTGTAAATATATTAATGTATGTGTGCATACACATGTGTATTCATTTGTGTATATATATATATACATATATACACATGTGTGTGCGTGTGTGTGTGGTGCGGCTTGTAGGTTTCTGGACACACTGAACTCCAATACGTTGTCATCTCTTGGGCGCATCTCCGACTTCCGCCGCCTTCCGCTGGCCTTCCGCCGGCTTCCGCTGGCGGAGGCGGCCTCGTTTTACGTCCGCCGCCTTCCGACGACCTTCCGCTGGGGAAGACATGCGATCCTCGAAGGCAAGGCACTTTTCTGGAATGTCATACATATATAATTATGTATATATGGCGACTTCTCGTTTGCTCTGTCACTTTCTATTGGTCCCCAACTTTCCCTGGCACCTGGGGCAACCCAAGCAACCAATATCTAAATGGCGCCTCTCTGACCACGTCTAGGAACCCAGTTGTGCGGACGTCTCAAGCGAAACGGGCCAGAGCACTTCAATTAAGGGCATCTCGCAGTAGCCCAGGGTTCGGAGGATGTCTCAGGCGAAACAGGCCTGAATACCT